TTTTTATTTTTTTATTTCTTATTTTAGAGAGGGAGGAAGAAAGAGGGAGAGAGAGAGAAACATCGATCAGTTGCCTCCCACACTCTCCTGGACCATGGGTGGGTGGGGGTGGAACCCACAACCTAGGTATGTGCCCTGACAGAGAATCAAACCCGAGACCTTCCAGTGGACGGGTGACCTTCCAACCAACTGAGCCACACCTGCCACACCTCAGCATGACTCAGCTGGGGTTTTAAAAACTCTCCTGGTGACTCCAATGTGCAACAAAGGCTGGGAGTCATTGTGTTATAGTAATGGGAGGCTTAATTGGTTAAAAGCGACAGTCTTCTAAAGAGTTGGGGTTTCAAAAGAGAAAAGAGGAGAAAGGGTTTGGAAAAGGCAGGGGTTCTTGTGGTAGAATAATGACCCCCGCTACCCAGATGTTCAAACCCGCAGCCCAGAACCTGCGAATGTTACTTTACATGGCAAAAGGGACTTTGCAGATGTGATCAAATTGAGAATCTTGAGATGGGGAGATGGCCCTGGATTATCTTGGTGTGATCACAGGTCCCTGTTAGAGGGAAAGCAGGAAGTTCAGAGTCAGAGAGAGATTTGAAGATGCTATACTGCTGGCTTTGGAGGTGGAGGCAGGAGACCCAGAAAGGCAGGTGCCTCTGGAAGCTGGAAAAAGCCAGGAAATGGTTCCTCCCCTCGAGCTCCCAGAAGGAATGCAGTTCTGCTAACGTCTTTCCAGACTTAGAACTTCGACCTTCAGAACATGATCGATTTTGTGTTATCTTAATCTACTACGTCTGTGATAATTTGTTACAGCTGCAATCAGAAGCTAATACAGTCAACACGGAGGATTCCCACCTCACGGAGGACTCCCCCAGGACTGAGGGAAGACACTCTTCACCTGCACCCAGTACAGCATAGTGCAAAGGATTTGAGTCAGTCGTGAACAAGGCTTTGAGAAAAGGACTGGTTTGGGGGAAAAACTTGGATATATTTCCCAAGGCTGAGGAGGAATGAAATAAAAGGGGGAAAGCCACCTGACACCATCTGTCTCATGAAAAACCTGACCTGGGTGGCGGATCTGTGTGAACTGAGAACAGGAGTGAAGAGCCAGCATCTGTGCCTGACCCGCACTCCCTGCAGCTAAGCAGCTGTGGTGCCTCTTCAGAGAAGTTTGGGTTCTGGTGGTTTTTAATAGCTGTGATTCTTTTTAAACTGGCTTTGCCTTTACTCCATGAGACTACTATCCCTTGTGTTTCCTAATTGTTTAGGGTAACAACCTAAGCATTCACCAGCAACATGGTATGTTCAAAGTCTTGTTCAAAAGGCCTGTTGTCATCCGGGGGACTGGATGTCCACAGCATTCATTCATCATGTCGTCCAGGGACTGTTCGAGCACCTCGGGCTCCAGGCATGTTTAGGAGCGGACGGGGAAAGCTCCCTGCCCCATGGAGCTGCTCTGCTTTGCTGCTTCCGGGCCGCGTGGTTTTGGGCACAGTCTCAATCTCTCAGTGCCTCAGTTTGCTCATTCGTCAAGTGGGAATAATTATGGTGCCTAGCTCTTGTGATTGCCGTAAGGATTAAATGAGTTAATGTTCTAACAGTGCTTAGAGCAGCCCTGGCAAATGGAACATGGCAGAAAGGTTTGCTGTGTTATGCTCTCCGGCAAAAAGAGACAGTCACATGAAGCCAGAGCATTGACTTGCTTACAGTGGTACATAGTCTTCCTGGGTAACAATCACAACTCTGCCACTTCTTTGTTAGAGGCAGGTGACAATGTAGGCAGAGGTGAGAGATGGGGAGAACCTGTCTCCAGCCCTGCCTTGAAAGCAGCACTCTTGACTCCTGTCAGCTTCCACAACATGTGGGTTGCCCAAGGCAGGCCCAGGCAGGAAGGGGGCCCGTTGTCTTCCTGGAGGCAAGGTTAAGGTCAGGTTCCTGAGTCAACTGACAGCTGAACAGGCCATTGATAACTGCCCTTGTCCTTTCTCTAGCCCCAGTTCTTCAGCCCTTGCCCTTCCCAGGGGTGAACAGTGAAGTAGCTGAGGGTTAGAACCATGGTGAGAGCCACGGAAGGTGGCAGGGAGAAAGCAGGTCCTGCAAAACCCCTGAGCGTCACTGCCTCACCCCCATACTCCTCTCCTGCA